TATAAACCTTACGGTAGCGTCTACTATATTGTATATAGTAGTAGTAGTAGATATATCTTACTTATTATATATATATATATATATATATATATATATATAGGGATTTCAACCTTATACTATGAAAGTAAGGTATACAACGAAACTCCGATGGATAAAATTGTTCCAACACTAGAAAACTATCCAATTGTAAGGTATACAACGAAACTCCAATGGGAAAAATTGTTCCAACACTAGAAAACTATCCAATTGATCTCTCGAACTTGAGATTTATGGAAATAAATAAAAAAACAAGATAGTCGTGAAAGTAGATAAATAAAAAGAGAGAGACCTCCAACAAATACCACCCATCTCTTTCTTCTCTCTGGAAGTACATGATCATCAAATGGTTACGACTAAAGTCACTTTGCATGTGTTGTTCAGACTTTCTTTGATAACAATATATTTCCAAAGTGACAACAAGAGCAAAAGGATAAAATCCTAACCGCAGAAATGAAAAAAACTTCATGGACTCCCAGACCTTAAAATTGTTATTATTTCTCTAGACAATTATTGCTTCGATGGGCATGGCTATGCATACAAAAAACAGCATCAGAGCCTTGATCTGAGTAAAATAACACTGTAATTCGTGTAGGAAATTATGGCACACTACTATAACATCTACCATCCTTTCCCAGCGATAGACAGCAAAGATTCATAATACCCTATTTGAATATCTGTCACTGAAATCACAGCTAATCTCTACCATTTGTCATCAGGAACTGCGGCAGATGTCACCATGGTGTACCATACAGCACCCACCTGCTATATATAGTGTTTTTTTTTCCTTAATTTCAAATCATAATCCACCAATGGATTGAAAGCAATTGTCAGCCTAGACAAAAACAACAGTTTAGGACTTTTAAAATTTTTGAGACAATGTATAATCACGTTAAGCACTTTTCACTAATTAGATACTTGAAAAGTCTGAGTACTTTGAAATCAGTGGCCAGATGCTACATCTGTAAGCTGTGGCTATGAGGCCTAAATACTTACAAGAAAACAATCATATGTTGTGTCTGACTTGTTGAGAGTTATGAAGCTTAGCCCAAAAAAGAAAGCAAAAAATAGAATGAAATGTCTAAATACTTTACAATAAGTGGACAGATGCTACATCCGTAAGCTGTGTAGCTATGAAGTCTAAATAATTTACAAGAAAACTACATTGTGACTGACCTGTTGCGGGATATGAAGTTTAGCCCAAAAAAACAAAAAAAAAAGACTGAATACTTTACAAAAATATGGATATGTGACGCATCAGACATGTATCAATCACCTTCGTCTTAATTTCATCGGGCTCCCCTTGGGCTTACTGGGTTTCTCATTCCTTGTTAGTTTTCTTTCAGAAGGGCGCTCACCCTGCTTGGACTTACTAGAGTTTTGGTTCCTTGTGTGCCTTCTTTTAGGAGGGGCTGACTTTGAACCTGACGAAAAACAAACATCATTCTTATAATCATAATCCATCAAAACAGCTTCCAAAAAAATAAATAGCAATTTGGGGGTTCGTTGGCAGAAAAAACCTCTAGTACATTGCTCATCATATTTGTCACCATCTAAAATAGAAGTGATGGAACCATCCTGCAACACGAGCTTAAAATCCATAATGATGCACAAGACAGAAGATAGCTTTCATGGTACCCAAGTTAGACACGACATTTAACATAACATGAAACATGGACCATAATTACATGCAAGATATATTTAAAAAATTACAAATTACACAAGAGCCATGTGCAAAAGCAGAAGCATACATGCCCACTTTACTTATATATTAGTGGGCCATCCGCATATCCAATCTGTACGAGTAATCTGTACATCTATTATACTTGATATAACGACTCACCCTCTCTCTCTCTCTCTCTCTCTCTCTCTCTCTCTCTACTCTACTACTACTCTACTACTACTACTACTACTACTACTACTACTACTACTACTACTACTACTACTACTACTACTACTACTACTACTACTACTACTACTACTACTACTACTACTACTTACTACTTACTTACTTACTTACGTTACTTA